AGTTTATCCCCTGAATAGGTACATCATTGGAAGGATGGATGGCTAGGCCTTGCAGGACAGAAGGGGCCAATATAGTCAACTTGCCACAAAGTACCAATTTGTCTCCTCAAGAAATAGTACCCCATTAGGGGCTCAGTGTTCGTCTCCATCATTGGCAAGTTGGACATTCAAAGTCAGCAGTAGGTAGATTTGCCATGAGGAGTGGCAGTCCACTCTATAGGCTAATGAGTAGTCTTGCTCTCGGCCACTGTGGCCACTCTATTCATGTGCCCATCATGCCAGTACTGAGGTGACCAATGGCCTGGACGATATCAGCTGGACAAGTCATTTTGTCTATTTTCTTGTTCATGGCTTCCTGTGTACTAGATGCTTTTTGATAAGTGTTTACTCTGTGAAACAACAATCTTCACACATCGCGCTCACTCCCATAGTTCCATCCACGTGCCTCTGTCTCAGACCCTTGTCTCTAATCTTCAACTCCTTTTTCTTTAAGGCCCCTGACCATGCAGGAAGACTATTGGCTACTGTGCAGGAATCTGTATATATTCTCACCTTAGGCCATTTTTCCTTCCACACAAAATGGATAACCAGATGATGCATTGCTTGCAGTTCCACCCATTGGGAAGATCTTCCTTCTCCACTGTCTTTCAAGGCTACCTCCAAACGCAGCTGTAATGAAGTGGCCATCTATTTTTGCTTTGCAGGTACATAGTGAAGCAATCCATTTGTTAACCAGGATTGGGCTTTTACTTCCTCTTCAGCTAGTCATAGAGAACCCATAAAAGTGAGCGGAGGTAGGGGCACGTGTGCAAGCCTGGTGGGTGACATGGGGGCATGGGGGCATCTGGACCACCTGCTCATGCAGCTTCTTCCTGCCGATATAGTCTCATGTGGGCTTGATCCCAGATGTGCCACTTCCATCTTCCAGTGGATGGCTGTGGGGCAAGTCTGAGTTTATTCTTAGTGTGTCTGAAAGACTCTAGTTCATAATTTTAGTTACAAATAATTCAGTGCCCCATTATAAACCATTCGCTCTTGACCAAGGCTCAGAAACATTCTAGAAACTCTTAAAAGGCCATTGACCAGTGGAACAGAACTGAGAACCCAGATATAAAATCATCCTCATATAGCCACCTAATCTTTGACAAAGCAGACAGAAACATACACTGGGGAAAAGAATCCTTATTCAATAAATG